GGCCTACAAGCTAGTAGCGATGGCCTCCAACCTAATAGCGATGGCCTCCAACCTAGTAGCGATGATGGCCTCCAACCTAAGAGCCATGGCCTCCAGCCTACTAGCGATGGCCTACAACCTAAGAGCCATGGCCTCCAACCCAATAGCGATGGCCTACAAGCTAGTAGCGATGGCCTCCAGCCTACTAGCGATGGCCTCCCACCTAAGAGCGAAATGGTTTGGAGTGCAAATTTGCTGAACTCTTTCAGATGAGGCTCTGTTTGCCAAAAGGTACGTGCCCGAGGCGGTCGCCACCAGCCAGGAAGGCTTGATACAAGCTTTCGACCAGCCCCTGGCCTTGGCGAGGATTGGCTGTTTAGGTCACTTGTTTGGCTCATGTTTAGGTGAATAAAGACACCGGCCTATTATACGATTCGGCCTAGAATAGATTTTTATTGTGCCTGAACGTCTGCGAGTTTGTAGCCTCAGTCACTCTTTCACTCTTCATTCTCCATCCTACAATCCAAACAATTTGAATTCAAAGCATCAAAACTTTGTGCCAGGCCACATGTCGCATCAAAGGCTTTGAACCCATCTTTCACCCGAAACTCCCAGACTGCGGCGCGCTCACTTGCCGCGGCGGCGGCGTAGCCGGCGCGCTCGGCGTGCTCGGCCTTGGTCGACTTTCGCGGAGAAAACGTCGAAGTGGTCGAAGTCGTCTTGACCTCCAACCTATTAGCGATGGCCTCCAAAAGGGAGAAAGCTCGCAGAAATGGGAATTGGGTGACCACTCCAAAATCAACATCTCTTGAGCCCCAAGCAGATGTAGGCATGTAGCTTCTTGCTACTACTAGTAATGCACCTATTTTCTTTTTGTACTTCAGCATAGTTAGCTTCCCAGAAATCAATCGAAGTCTCATGGATCACCAGAGTTTTGATCACGTAGAACCCATAGAGTCAACCCGGTGCTTAAATGTTCACACATGATCACACTGAAGCTGTGGATACAGCCTGGCCATTCCCTGAATATGAGTGCAGGAAACTTGTGGATGGTGGACTTCGATGGCTCAAAACAGAGTCACTCTTAGCGAACGCAAGATCCACAGTAAGTGTGCCAATCCATGGACAACGCACATGGCATCAAAATCATTTTGACATCATCTGGATCGCAAATGCCAGAAACCATCTGGCTCAACGCAGCTACAGGCGATGTACAAGTGAAACCGGCGGTGAAACGGATCGTGACACCTAAGCAATCGCCTCCCACCTACCATCGACCCATGAAAAGCCTTTGTTCCATCTTGCCCCTTCAACGCCAACGCAACAAACGTAGGCCACGCTGGGCGAGGGTTCCGCAAGAAACACATCCGTACTGCCGGGTGTACAGGCCCAACAGCACTGAAAGCATGACGGCCAACACTGGAAGCATCTTTTGCGGTATCTTCGGAAAGCTTGCCACCGCCATTGGAAGCCAAAAGGCACCCAGCAAACAAAAGTTCAGGATCAGCACCGTCAGCAGCGATGTCCACTTGGAAAAACTAAGCCTGGCACCACTCCAGGCGCCAAAGTTACAAAGCCAAAAAAAGAACATTGTAACAAGTGGCACCATCGCAAATTGAGCGATCCACTGCCAGAAGTTCCATTCCGCTGACACATGTGGGTAGACTCGAATGTGATCCAAGCCCATGTGAATGTATTGAGGCAGGATGCCTTGGATCAGAACGGCATCAAGTACCCCATGATGAGGGACCTTTAGATACTTTTGAGGATCGGACTTCCAGAAGAAAGCAAAAGGAAGACTTCCGGGGTGTGGCTGAAACTCAGCTATCTGCAGTATCCTCAAATTCCCTACAGGCTGAAATATGCGCAGAAGCAAACAGGGTTCACTTCCCGATTTGGGGGGCATGTTTGCAGCCAACCCAAGATCTCTCACTTCGGATGCCAAGGGGTGAGACAACCATCATGGCCAGCATAAAACGTAAGGGTGGAGCACCGGAGCCCAAACCTTCCACGACAAAATGTCTCATCTGCTCGCGAACGAGGCTATCAAAGCCTTGGTGTTTGACATCGTCTGCTGCGATGCATCGAATAACTGCTGTGTGGGCCACTTTTGGACGATTACTATAAAGTATATCTGACGCAACGATGCAACGCAATCGCTAGTGAACCCACAATGCAGCTCAAAGTTGACCCTTTGAATCCCTTTTGACCAGTTCGTACCGACAATCCTCTTTCAGAAGGCATTGACCTGTTGGCCACTGAGATGGATAGTTGGATGAGCTCTATAAAAAGAAAGAATTCCTGGCCTTACTACTAGGAGCAAGGACGCTACTAGATTCAGTTCGGCACAGTTAGGGATTTGCATGGACCTGCGAAAGCCTTTGAGGAGCGCTCCCAAACTGATCCAATTTGAGGGCAGCCTGCACAGTCTCCTGATGCGTTCGCCTGCACAGTCTCCTTTATACTGGGATCTACCCTCGATTTCCTGTCGTACTTTCGTCACCGCAAAACTACTTGTAGCAATGCCAGGAGCCCCGTTCGTAGCGTTCTTGCTCCTAGTAGTAAGGCCACACAGGAACTCAAGGACCATTCAGGGAGTGAGCGACTCACCCCCGTCCCGACACCACCATCGACCGAGAATCAATCCAAGTGATCATCGCCAGGGCCAGCAGGGTACCAGCGTCTTAGCGTCTTGAACACCAATGAACGATCGCAAAGGATTGAAACACCAGTCTGTGGATGGACGTGATTCAAGTCACAGCAGGAGCACTCAGCTTGTCGAATGCTGAAGCCCTTCATTTGACCTTCCAGGTTCCTTGGTCCATTCAGAGCAGCGTGGCAGTGCAACCTGGCACTGGTTGGTATTTTGTTTGGCATTCATGCTTGGGAACTGAAGAGGAGGCCATCGCTACTAGGGTGGAGGCCATCGCTATTAGGTTGGAGGCCATCGTTACTAGCTTGGGAACTGAAGAAAGACCGCATGTTTTGGCACCGATTTTTGGGTGGACATCATGAAGCACCAACATAAATGCGGATGATTGAAATATAACATTAATAATATAAAAATATAAGACAATGTCGCAGGGGCACAGCGTGGAGCTGCATTCTACGGATCCAAGGCTCTCCAAGTCCTTCATATACTGGATCCCAAAATGGATTTGAATGGACATCCCCAGAAGCAGCGACGGAGAGAGTATACCTCCTGCCAGCGCAACAATATAGAAGCCGTCCATGCCCATTGAGCCTAGCTCCTCAATGTACACCCAGACATGAAAGAAGCACCAGAAGATGAAGTTCACAGCACAAGTGAGTATCAGCAACGACCTGAGCTGGCGGCTTCTTTTCCCATTACTCCCTCGCTAAAGCAGGGTGGCTAAAAGCAGGGTGGCTCTCCCTGACATAATCCGGACAATGTAATGACCCAAGTCCCCAAACCCCCCTCCCCGAGCGGAACTGCTATCCCAAAGGATCCACACCTGGATCCAGATTCGGTCAAGAGACATCATCGCGACGGGCAGAATCTCCACCCGTTTGCTGTCGCCTCCAGGTCGAAGGAAATGTGCCAATTCCTTACGAATTGTGGGGTTCCTTGCGGATCTTCATTATTATCTTCATATAAAGGTGGCAACATGTGGCAACCTTCCTGGTGTTCCCTGTCGATTCCCCAAGTGTTTGACTCCACTTGAAGGAAACAAGTGTCACACATAATTTCACTGCGCCATCAAAGCAAGAAAGAAACGACAGCTTTAAAACATATACAACTCAGTACAAAGGAAACACTTTCTCCTTCGCAAGCCCAGGACTCAAAGGTACACCACACTCGAGTGAAGGTGCGAGGAGTCCAAAGGATCAACAGTTTCTGGGACCTTGCGACGCTTGTGATTCCACGGCAGAAATGCTACACATGTTCCACTCGCATTGAAGGTACAGGGTTAAAATTGTGATACCCCACATCTCAGTCATTAGGTGATGCTGCATAACATCAAATACGTGTCAAACATATAGAAATATGACTAGCTAAGCCCTTTAGCAGCTAAAACAACGACTAGTCCGACTAGTGGACAACCTGTTTGTTGGGATTTTCTCTCACCCTCTACATCTGGTCACTTTGCTGGACAGAAAAATGATGTGTAATCCCGGCTCAACCCTCCCCCGTCGTCCACAGAGAGGAAGAGCTTGTCCCAAAAAAGACTCTTCTGAGATTGGCTATCGTAAATTGCAATACAAAATCATGCCAGACTTTTCAATTGGCTGCACACAGCCAGAAAGTTTAGTCTTGCATTGCATCTCTGCATCTTAGTATATGATCTCGGTGGGATTAACTTTCCGATGCACGACATCATAGGGCCAAATTTCGGAGCTAGGAGGCGGGACACTTGCAAACCATGAAGTGGAACTGGACATCTCGGTATGCCACTAATTGATCAGCTTCAAGCACACGTAACGAAGATTAACAATAAATCTATTGTTTGAAGTTTGCAGTGTAACAAGTCGTGACGTCGATTTGCTGTACGTGATCTGTAATCTGCCGGCATCCGCAGACCCTCTGCCACATGCAGAGGCGAGGCGTGTCTTGTGGAAGGTTGCTTGTCGTGATTGCTTGTCAAGATGTTGAGCTTGTGATTAGAATGTTCCTTGGCGCTGATTTTTCGTTACGCTGACTTGACCCCCCTCGACAAACACTGTTATCTTAAACTGATCCTCTGGACCTTGCTACTCACCGTGTTCTTACAGCCCAAAGATTCTTGAGCCCTCAACACATGTGCCAAGCCGTGCCACTTGAGCAAAAAGCCAGCCAATCCCAGGATGCCCTGTCGCTTGAGCTCCTCGTCATGCTGTGCGATACAAAGTCGGTCCAGGAAGACCATCGGCACCGAACAGCAAGCGAGACGTCGCAACCGTTGCCTTGGCCGTTTTCCAAAGAAACTCACTTGAGCAGCTTCATGGAAAGGGTGGATGAAACGTGAAGCAAAACCAGGTGTTCGCCGTAAAATGACACAACCTTGGACGGTTTGGCCTAGTAACCTAGTAAGTAATCCTTCTGGTAGGGAAGGCTTGGTGGTCTTAACAAAGGCTAAACGGCCAAAAAAAGAGTCATGTTCCACCAAGTTGCCCAAAGCAAAAAAAGATGAGAAACGTGGAGTAGGTTGAGATACTTGCTGTGGGCCAACCTCCTGGAAGCCTGCGGCTCAGAAGCAAGCCGCACGTCACACTGCTCACGCAGATGGTCGCAACGGCAGCGGGCACACTGTTGTAAAAGACCAGCAATGCGAGCGTCTTTGACCAACGCGGAGTCTTCCAATCATGGCTTAAGAACTGGTTGATGCACTCAGTCTCCCTGCTGAGCTGATAACCTTCCAAAGAAGCACTTTCACTGAAATGTGCACCCCAACACCTTAGACAAACGATGTACTGACATCGTCTCGTCCGTCCCAAAAACGATGAAGAACACCCGAACAGCTGTTGGCACCCAAACGCGAGTTCAATTCTTGCCCCAACTTTACTTCAATAGTTCAAATTATGTTCTTTGCAACCGCCACAGCCAAAAGCAAGGTATTCCTGCTCTCCGGTGGGTTACGGAGTCGATCATTATGGATGAAAGATGGACCTGGCAGTTCACAGCGATCCACACTCTTAAAGAACTCTTGGACCACTTAAGAAACATGCTTCTCTACTTGGGCCTTCTTGAGTAACGGGACCCTCAGCTTTCAAAACTCAGTCCATGCCAACTTCCGGAAGAACATCGCGTTTTGACCTCCAGCGCAGGCGGCGCCACCCCACAAAACGTCCTTCGTGGTTTGTCTCCCCCAAGCCACTGCAAGCACGAATCCAGCGCCACCCCACGGAGTAACTTCGGTGCCAGCTCTGAGGACAACGAGGTTTGGGATCTCACAGATGCCTCGAAAATCCAAAAGAGCGAATGCTTCACTTCAGATGTGGAAAGATGATGTTATATATGGAATACACTCCCTTATTATTCAAAAAGAAGTCTTATTTGTCAGTGGCCAGCTCTCTCAACTAACACCAATCCTTTTTGGGATGTCCGATTGTTCCCTTCAAGGTCTGACGGCACAAGGTGCTTGTTTCGTGACGGCGCAGACTTCGGCTTCCAGGTCGGGCACCGGCACTGGAAACGGCGCAGGCTCCGGACGCCAAGGAACCATGGACGAAGTACTCGTCCGGCCGAAGAAGAATTGAAGTCCGGTTGCATTGAAATCACACATATAGGGTATATATATATATATGGATATGGGTTAAAGAACAAAATCGGATCCATTTATATACTGGATCTCAGGACTTGTACAAGTCGCTTTGAGCCGATCGCAAAGATTCTGGAATTGCTGGAGCTGGTCTAGGGGGAACAAGCCTAACAAGCCGAAGCAATCTGAATCAGGACAAATTGGGATGCCTTGCCCTTTCTGAACATCGAGTACTATGCCATTGCACTTCATTGGAAGCCCTCACACCATTATTAGAGTGTATTTCGTCCAGGGCTAGTTGCTTGTGGATTGCTTATGCTGACGAGGAAACACTGATAGATAGGCAAGTCTTGAATTTTTCAACTACTCTTCGGGGATTTTGGCGGTACACATGCGTATCCAATGCTCATAAGAGGAAGTGACAAAGAATTGATTAAACCAAAAACCAAATAGGCTCGGCCAAGAATCCACAGCTTCCGCGGCTTCAGCAGCACAGGGCGCCTCTGGCCTGCCAAGTGGAAATGAAAAGTAAGGACCCCCATTCAAGTTTCTGCCGAAACAAATCCGGAATCTGAAATCAGGGCTGCAAATGCATATGGAAAAGAGAAAACAATCACACGACATGTATGTTATGCCATACTTGCAGAAACCTCAATAAGACCGATTGCCTTCCCAGTCTGTCACACCCGCTCCTTTCCAGGCCATTCCTCTTAGGTTCCTTTTACTTTTAGGTTGGAAGAACACCGTCTTCTCCCTTCCGTCTATGTGGCGAAAAACCGATTCCCCAACACTGAAGGCTCTTCAGACTGATACCGCGATATGACGCCTAACAAGTGGTTCCCAAAAAAAAACACGGCGTAACCGGGGGACGACATGGTCAACATCGTGCACAACCATCTAATCCAGGTTCTGAAGGCATCGTGCGAAACCTCTCATTGCCTGGAGCGTTTCACGCCGCCCTCTGGTCGATCGCTCACCTTGCAAGGCGGATCTGCAACTGATCTGCGGTGAATATCCCAGGTACGTTCCCTCCAAAATGAACGGTGCATTCCGGACGCTTCCTTATGATAAATGATAGACAAAAAAATGCACCCGTCACCAGCCTCTGCTAGGGCCGGTCTCCAAAAAAATGACCTAACAACAAATGAAGACATCATAAGAAATGCAATTACAAACTAAAGGTTTGAAAGAAGAGAAGAAAAGGACGAAAGGCCTCAAGAAGTTCCAGGCATAACGTGTGTTTTAAGTCTGGTGCTTTGCCCTAACAGAAGCGCGAGTGGTTGTCGGTCTTGTGTGTCCGGAAACGTCCCCCAAGCCGGCTGGGCTAAAAAAATCCAAGTTGATCAGAGATATATCTGGAGATCTTTGAGGCATTCAGATGTTTGCCGTCTTCTCTTACCAGCGTTGAGAAGTCAAAGCCGAGGTCACAAAACAGGTCTCAACCAAACACAGTCTGAAATCTAATGAGCTAGGACCTGTGCCTTCTCCTTCCATTGAGGCGGGGGATGCGCCCCAGCCCTACATCACACGGAACTGCGTGAGATTCCCTAGTCATCACGTGCTGGAAAGTTTACGTCCCCGGGCCACTTTAGAGTTTGCAAGTTTAGAGCAAACACACATATCAAATGCCTTGTAGGTACTGGTAGGTATTCATGTGTGTTCTGAAGACCCTGCCACCAAAGGCGCTTATTTTTCATCCGGCTTCATGCCTTCAGGTGTTCAGTGGCACAACCCTACAAAACTTCACCCGCCTTGCTCATCTTCAGTGTTTGGTTGGAAATGATCGACGCACCGCCTGGCATCAGATTGGGGCCTTTGATCTTCACATTGTGCACCACTTCAATGCGCCTGGCCGAAGCAAGCAAGGCCCAACACATGATGCAGCATTGCATCCAACTTGTTGCTGGTTTCCAAGGCTTCCAGGGAATCCAAGCGTTTGCAAAACAGGGGCGCTGGATTCTTCGGAGGATCGAATTGCAAAGGCACTCAGTCCGGCTGGAATGTTTCACGCTACGCGTGGGAGCCTAGCCTTCGCGGCCGGCGCGAAACACACCTGCAAACTCCGCAGGTGTAGCGTCCACTGCATCAGGACTAGCCCGACGCGCCAGTGGCAGAGGCTCAAAAAATGCGGCAGACAGCTGAGACATAACTATGTGAACGAGGGGGACAGACAAGAAAGTCCATGAAAGTGATTAGTTCGGACATAGCCACGCCAAAAGGACGTCCAGCCCCGCATGAGATTGAAGACTTGCAGGAGCGCAGGTATCAGCCAAAGCGCTACATCCTGCAACACTGCACTGGCTGTCGCGCGATGTCGACCTTGAGAAGAAAACACAAACCAAGCAACCGCGCACTTCTCGCCGTCTTGGCCTTTACCACTCACTCCAAGTAATAAGTCACATGTACCATGCAAAGGTGAAAGCATCGTTGCGTTCCAAAATTTGCTTCGGCGGCGAAATAGACTACCACACACTGGGCAAACATCCTTTACCCATGCGGATTGCTCAGCGACCTAATGAGGTGCAGTAAGAGAGTGATTGGGGCAAATGCCATTGTCAAAACCAGTGGTGATATGTGGTGATGGTTAGATGGCCTTCCCCTCAGAAAAAAGGGCTGACTGCACTTCCCCCCAAGCATCTTCTGAGACACCTGGACATATGTCATTCGCATTCACGACAAGCCCCGGCAAAAAACGAAGACGCAATGAAAATAACATTTCTTCGCTTTGACCATGGCACGTGGTGTCACAAGGGCAGACCTTGTCGTCAACTTTCCGCTTCTGCAATACGCAGTCAGCTCAGGGGCAACAGGCCATAGAAAACATCAGCTGTAGTGCTCTGTTGGGCCGGTTGGAAGCGTAGCGGCTGTTGCTTCAATGGAGACAAACCGAGGCAAGGGAATCCACAAAACAGCAAGTCAATGCAGTCTACGCAGACATGCTGCTGCTCTGGCTTGCTGCTCAATGAGTCAGAGTTGGTACTGAGCGGGTGCAGTATGAACAGAAGACATGACCAAAGATCCACAATGCCCTTTAGGTTCTTGTAAACTAGCCTTGACATTGGCCAATTGTCAATACTGTCTAAAGATTCCTGAAATTTCTGGATTTGGAAGATCAACCTGGATCCTGGCAAGGAGTTTGTTTCATGTTCCGGACACACGCTTCCAGAGAATAACTCGGGCAAGTGCCCTTTGCTTGAACACTTTGAATGAGGTCCCCGCGGTCAAGTAAAGAACGCCAAAGAAGCGTACAATGAACTCGTTGTAGAAGTTTCTTCCTAAGAACTCAAGCTTCAAACTTTCTGGGAAGGTGGGCCTCTTCCAAAGCTGCAGTGGTGACCAGCCCTGCCCAGTCCAGCTAGACTTCTGTGCCGAAGTACCACTGAAAAGCAGGCGTCCATCTTTGCCAACATCCGTGGGGCGAGATTGTGCGTGAAGTTGTTGAATGTCTAGCCAGCTGCACATTCTTTCAGAAGCGGGCTAATGAACTAAACATGTTTTCTGTTTTGTGGATTTGGTCCTTTCTTCAAAAGTTACAGATGTACAAGTTGCCCTTGAGCTTGAGGAGCCTGTCTGCTTAAGGGCCTGGCCAAAACAAGATCCAACCGCATGAGGGAGGCAATCTATTTTTACAGCAAACATATAGAAAAATGCAAGGCCTGCAGCAACCACACTGAATCCAGAGTCCCTATGGGCCATTTGTGAGGAGCTGTTCACGTTCTGAGTTTACCCCTGCGTGACCTACATGAGTCCAAGTAAGCTCGGAGCAGCCTTGATATTCTGATATTTGTCCCTCCAAAAAGGTCTGCTCTTTGCGGATCTTTCTCAAGGTGGTGAACATTCAGAAGCCAAGCTTCCGCTACTTCCGCGGCAGGCGCTCTTGGCATAGGGAGCTCTGCGCGCTCTTCCGCCTCCCTGCCATTCGGGCGGTTCCCTTCCAGCTTCTCAAAAAATTGAACAAAAAAACAACAAAAACATTGGACGAATGAAGGAATCCAAGTGGATGTATCGAACTATGCTCGCCCTGACCAGACTGCTTTGCAAAGGCCTTGTTGGAGTCTACTGTTGGATGGCTGGCTGATTGGTTGGTTAGCTGGATGGCCGGATACATGTATGCTTGCGTTTCTTGTTGCTGCTTGTTTGTTGTTTGCTGTCATTGCAATGGTATTGGCATGTGACTTTGATCTCGTCATTTTGGCATGCCTTCGCTAGTGTCATTCTGACTGATACTGTGCTGGTGGGTTAGGATTAAAGAGTACAGCAGCCCCAGGAATGATGCCTTCATAAGCAACGACGTAGACTCTTGATTAACAAGCGCCATATACCCATCCTTTGTCCAACAGAACACAACACCGTAGTGGCGGCATCTTCGGAATCTGACGCTCAAGGACAAAACAAGCTGCTTGGTGGGGCGTGATGGGCATTTCCTTCTGAGTCGCTAGCCCCTTCAGATTCGCAGTATGGTTAAAAAGAAAAGAACGTCTGTGATCAGTAAAAGTGATCAATGCGAATAGTTGTTTTTTCCATCTGTGAACAGGGTCTCCATATATCTCCATGGCCGATTTCGAGCCTGGGCTTGGTGTCTAAGCTCTTTGGACCACTCGCCTCAGAGGGCAAATGGATGTCCAACTCGGTGGCAGGGGACTGGTTCAGCAACCCATTTTTAAAACGCTACTAGGAGCAAAGGGCATCGCTACTAGGGGCTCCTGGCCTTACTACTAGGAGCCATGTTCGCTACTAGGAGCAAAGGGCACGGCATTGCTCATCCTTTGTTACTAGTACCGTCCTCTTGTTCCTAGTAGTAATGCCAGGAGCCCCTAGTAGCGTCCATGCTCCTAGTAGCGATGCTCTTTGCTCCTAGTAGCGAACATTGCTACTACTAGTAAGGCACTTGTTACTAGAAGCGATGCACTTGTTACTAGTAGCTTCTTGTTTCTACTAGCTGAACCGACTCCCAAGCGGTGAGGCCCAGAACTTTCCACCGGACGTGCACCATCCAATCCGAAGAAACGAGAGGACGTGCTATGGCCCATGAGGTCCTTGATTGCACCGGCCCAATCCGAAGTACCGGTGGTCAGCTAGTAGAAACAATATATAGAATAGAAACAATAAGCTACTAGGAACAAGTGCATCGCTACTAGGAGCAA